TTACGTAACGCTTCACTTCAGCCAACTTTGACTGCTCACAACTTCCTTGGCAGGTTCATTTTGCAGTTTTAGTTTCCATATTTGTAATCAGCGTTTGAAGCTCTATCGATATATCTGGGTCTCAATTCAAAGTTCCATGGGAAGTTGAATGCCTTCCCTGGTTAGAAACGGGGTGAGTTCTCACCTCTACACATAATGAGCAGCAGCTCGCATTGTCATCAAATGTTGAAAGCGCCGGGGTGAGGGGTCGAGCTAATAATAACCGCCAAAGACAAACTTCACAATCAGCTTCCAACACAAAGCAGCAGTAAACTCGCGCTCGAGGTAGGGTTATTCAAGGCGCAACTGTGGCAGAGGTCATAAGAGCGATCCCTTCGGTCCCTAAAACAGATCCCTAGAGGGCGATCGTAGATATAACATTCTCATGCATGGAAGCCGTCCGACATCAGCGATAAGACCTTGCAATTAGCTGCAACAGCTACAATGTTTCCCGTCTATGGTAGGCTGTTGTTTGACGCATTGTTATGTTCTGCTCACTCCATCATACGCTACTTTCCGAGCTCAATCTCTCATTTCCTTGGCACAGTCGCATTACGGAGGTAAGCTAGCCCATAACCACACTCTTTTAATAGAATTCTTCTTTTTTCTCAACTGCTAACCTATTTCGCGCCAATAAATTCATTTCCATCTGCAAGAACCGGCCAATTTGGTCCTGAGGTATGCCTTTGAACCAGCCCTTGAAGAGACGATCTGCATGTTTATAGTGACAACTATTATTATAGCTTTACTGAAATTCCCAACTAAAGTTTATCGGGTCAGCCTATCGGGCCTTTTTTATGATCGTGCTGCTCAAGTCTTTGCAGCGCTAACAAATCGATTACCGTTGTAGCACTTGATCGATAACTCATGGAGCTTCCTTAAATTGTAAGCAAGCTTTCAAAATGTTTCAGGCGAATGTTTCCCGTGTTGAGTATTTCAATCACTGGTCTTGACAGTGATGCCAACTACTCCTTGATGGTCGACATGGAGTGTGTCGACAGCAAGCGTTATCGGTATTCGTTTCATCAGAGCAAATGGACTGCAACTGGCCCAGGTAACCTTTCTAGGCAAAGTATGGGATCGAACTGATGAATTGTTGCGCTTGCAAGTGACAGTGAAAATGTGAACTGCAACGCCAGCAATGGAAAGAAACCGTCGACAAGGCCAAAAATGAAGTTCTCTCCTGTAGCAGCAAAAAGTCATAGCATTGATCAGTGGGCGGGCTCAATGTCGTTGGGCGGGACCAATGCTGCATCCTAGGGTCTTACTTAGTGCCTCGTCCTTGCCAAATAATCCCGAAAGCCGTGGAGTTCCCGCTTGCATACGGCTGCATTTTTGTCGGAGACTAGCTTGATTTCAAGCAGAAATCCAGACCTTGCCTTTAGGGCGACATTACGAACCACGTGACATAGCACTCGATCATACTAAACGATGAGTGGCTCCTAGAAGGTTTGTTCGTCCTGAGACCCCCGGCCGGCCGGTCTGTACGGTAATTTAGGTCTCACAAAGGTACTGTAGAAGTATATTTTTGCAGCAGAATTGTAGAATTTGTTCCGAACATCTACCGATACTTTGGCCTCAATTCCTACCACCCCAGCTTTGGCCATGGCTACTCATCTGAAGCCGACCAATGAACCATTATAGATCTACCTTAGGTAATCTAGGTTCTGTAGCATTAAGCTTTCTACATCGTAAATTCATCCTATTTCTCCGGAGTTGAATTTTATGCATGATCAGTGTGCTCTAGTCCAACATTACCATTCCAAGAATCTTTTTCAGGAGAAGCAGAACTCCCATGCAGAACATTTGTCCACCCAGACAGTCCGGCAAAAGGCTCCCATTGGATGAAAGGCAGTATTTCGTTTGACAAAATAAAACTTACCAATAATCAAATGGATCAAAACGGACACGTGAGTAGAGGGAATTCATAATAACTGTATCGCGAGGAAAAAATAATTTTACTAGAAAATTTACTACCAGTCAAAAATATCAGTCGATTCCAGATAATCGTCAATTCAATGCATCGGTACCTGCCTCGAATTCACTTGGTTCGCCATTCAGACGCACAAGACGAGCAAGGAGACAGGAGTGAAGAAGACCGTATTACTGTTTCCTTCGAGGAGACTACGTTTATCGCTGTCACCGCCTATCAAAATCATCGGGTTGGTGCTTTCGTAACTGAACCCAGTTTTGTAGCTTTTCTCCTCATTTGACATTGGCAACAGGGTGGGGCTAATGCGGAGTTCGCGACAAAAAAACATCCGATTAGAAGTCAAGGCAGAGGTAGTCCGTGGTGCAAGGATGAAGAAATAATCATGGAAAACGGTCTAAAACCCATGGTAGGAGTTCTTCTTATCCCCTCAATTTCCACATTGATGCCACTCTGATTTGTGCTGCCTTCTTCAACGCTAACGCTTCCTCGGCTAAAGCGGCTATAGTCGGATGGCGAGGGCGTGAGCGGGCAACGGCGCGGGTTCGGCCCTGCTGGAGAATATACATAGTTCGCTGCGAAACAAGCATCTTCTGGCACCCTTGGGCCGATGTCAGACTTTGCGAATCGCGCGATTCGCTACTAGCGATTCGCGCGATTCGCTAGCGTCCGCGGTCGCGTTGCGGTACCAGCCAATTGAGTGATTCACTGGCCGCGACGCGACCGCAGACGCTAGCGAATCGCGCGATTCGCAAAGTCTGACATCGGCCTTAGAGAGGCCAGCCTTTGAATCTCGTTAATGGAGGAGACAGTAATGTAAGCCACTTTCGATCGTCTTCTCTGTTACCTCAAATGAAACTCAGAGCCAAATCGTGTGTGCCAAATATTAGGCTCTTATCCAGCATCGTTCTGATTTTCATCACTACAGAGTAGCTTTGTGTCAGACATCCGTAGCACTTCGCATGCGGCAGGACAACGAGAAGCCTTTGCTGGCGTCCACTCGAGGAATTCGATGAACAACTCCAGGAGCGATCGACAGGAAAGGCAAACCATGCATCGGTAGCAACGTTTGTTCACCGAGCATTCTTAGTTCATGGCACTGCTTAGCTTTGCAATTCATGATGCCGTCGTTGTCTGTATATGAGGCAGAAATTAGGCCTTGCAAAAAATGACATAGCCAGCTCCATTATAATATACCAGATAGGTCTCGGTAACCGCTGAAACCTCCCATCCCTGTATAAGCTATGCGTTCCTTCTCGTCTCCTTATCCTCCCTTCCTCCCTCCATTAGTTCTCTAGTGCAACAACTTCAGGAAAAAGACTTAAAGGCAAGATTCAAGCTTAAACTGATGAGGTAATTCTACTCAAATGTGATGTAGGGGTGGGAGGTGGACCGCCAGTGGAGAAAAAAAAAAAAAATTCGTGAAATACACAGGAAATACGAGCCTTTTGCTCTACGTTGCGGCGAAGTTCAAAAGGCCGGCAGGGAGGTGAGAGATAATGTGAGCGCGGAGAGCGGTAGAGAAATCCGAGAAGAGAGAGCATAGCAGATCAGCATTGCGACGCAGACAAAATATCGAGCGGTGGGCGGAGCGTGTCGCAACAGGTGGAGCGTGTCAAAGTCCTTGGCCCCTAGCGCCTTAGTGACGCATTTGGATGCGGGAACTTGGCGAGTCGCCTGCAGTTGCGTCCCATGCACTTCTAGCCACTTTAAGGGCTTATTAGGTGGGTCTGAACTCGAAACTTTGCCTAAGGAAGAATGTTACGTAGATGTTTATGTAGCCGCTTGGGTGTTACCGCAATCATGCCATTGCAAAACATTGGTAGGACAGGCTCTGTGAGCTACCAAGATTTGTTAGCGACCTGTTTCCTCCATTAGCTGCCTTATCACTCACTTCATTTTGCGGACGGACGTACAGACAAAGCTCCATACACACAAACAAACTGACACTTGTGATTCTATCGTGAAGAGATATGTGTCGCTCCTGTAATTTTCTATGGTAAATCTGTATATTTGAAAGCCCTGAAATTCACGTGTGAGAGGAAGTGCGTATGGGCAGCTTTTGTGTCGATAATCGAAAAGAAATTGAATTAGGCTTGTAAAGCGCAAATCTCATCTACATCACGATACTGTTGGAAGTCCACCGTCTCAAAAGACGAGGTTGTTGACTGAAAATCTAACAATTACCACGTTTGAGCTTCGATCCTCATGAAGCTTGCTGAGATCGTTGCCAACGGTTACGTGATGCTTCTGTCGGACATTTATTGCTATTCGCTATTGTTTCTCTGGCTACGTTTGAGCCCCTTCGATTTTTCGTAATACCCACCTGTAGACCTTCAGTTTTGTGGTGTTTTGCTGTTTTTCCTGTTGATTCCTGTGCTTCGTAGCTGTTCGTAGCGATAGCTTGAGACACCACCAAATTTGGGTCTTGTCAGACCTCACAAGGCCCCTGCAACGCAGATCCGTAAGGGCCGAACAGGACTTACTTTTTGCTGCATGATAGAAGGATTGAAGTGGGGGTGCTCAGTTAAAAATCGCTGGACGGAAAACGACTTTTTCGCTTTTCACACCGCGAAACATATTTCCAGGTCCTCCCCTGACTAGGAGTGGAGCCAGGGGAGCTCCTCTCCTAATCAGGGGCCTCCGTTGAAGCTGGAAGCGCTAGAATTGTTGGAATCACTGACGCCGCTCAAATATAATAGTTATTGAGTCGCGCGGTTCACGCGGTTGCTCGCGAAGTCTTACACCCGTCTTAGCTTTCTGACAACGTACCATAACCCAGTACGTAGCTGCTATATCTTGTAATGTTGATGTTAATATGTCAACGCCATGACCAGCTTCGTCATTTTGTAGTACATATGGTTAAGCCCACAAGAAGACCATACACGCCGAACCGAAAGCTCATTCAGTAAACATTTAAATGGAGTTCCCGGTCAACACCACTGGAAATTACTCTTATAATGAAACTTAGGGATAGCATAAGTAGTTTAAATATCAACACAACACTTTCCCGACAAAATTCGCTAAAAACTAGACGTAGGGATTATTTGGCTTTCTGATCACGGATATGACACCAGTTTTCAACGTCGGCGCCATCTTGTGCCTGGGGTTGTAGTTGAGGAGTTGTGTCGAATATTAGTAGAGAATATACTTTTTATTCCGGAAATCAAGAAGAGCGTCGAGTGTAGACCATGCACCACAAGTGGCGACGTCTAAGAAAAAGAAACAGAAGTATGCCGCTTATTTAGTGTGTTGTTGCACCTGACGTTCTTCTCTTTTGAAATAAAAGGCTATATAACACTATACGGAATAAATCCGTGGTTAACCCAAATGTGGTTGACGGAAGCTGTCGTGCGAATACACACAGCATATGAGAATCCATTAATGCTCGTTATTCCGGACTTAATACAGCTCATATGAAACTGAGCTAACTAGAAACTAAGTACCCTTTCCCCGTACCACCACTGTGGTTCATGAAATTTCAAAATGCTCTTTTATATTTGAAATCAGTGTGAACAACTCAATGCAGTGACATACAGTTTGTATGTCGAAGTTTAATCTGACTTTACCTTTGGTCTTGGCTTTTAATACTCGGCAGTTCAATTTGATCTATGATCGAAGCTTAACGCCGGCCCGTTTGGCCGTCTTCAATCTCCGCAATTTCCACACTCTCTTACTTTTTGCTAATTCCTCGATTTCGGCTGAACGCGTCTTTTCTTCAACGGCAGGCATCCACGGTAGATCGGGATGGTTACCGTCTGCGCAGTTGTGGAAAATACGAAGATCAGGGTCAGCATCAAAGAAAAACAAGGGGGACTGTCAAAAACTTGGAGGTTGTGAACTTTTTCCTTTGCTGTATCGGGGTGGACGAGTTTGCTGCTAATGCAGAGGTCGTTCGGGTAAAGTTAAACGACAGAATATGTTCGGTAAAGTTTTCATCTCAAATACATACCTTCGGCGCCTTATCGTGCCGTTGATAGCATGTCCTTTGCCGCAGAAGCACCACCTCTTGTGTTTTTATTAGGTCGGTCCATAAGTCTTGCAACAAACTGGCCGAATTTTGAATTTAATATTTTCATTATCTTTTTGTTCCATTCATCCGGCATGCTACCCTCCATCAATATCTACAACCTATTGCCAACACACTAGTAGCTGCTCGATGCCTCCCTTGTAGGACTCTACTGAATTCTGATCGAAGAAAGATCAGATGTCGATTTGACATCATCATAGTTAGGATGAGCTTTCTTCTCTAGGAGATGGTTTGGAGAGGGGAGCAGAAGGGCATTATTTGCCTCGAGGTCAGGGCTATAACGTGAATACGGAAGAACTCTCCGTCCCAGAGTCTCGAAATTTTCCTGAATTTTCTTTAGCAAGAGGTTTTTCAACGGTGTCATACAAAAGCAAACTTTGCCTTGTTTTTCTTTCGTATTAAAAGCGTTGCATTCGAGCTGTGGATAGTTGACTTTCGCGTTGACTGCGACATCTACACGGAGGGGTTTCCAGAGCTTAACTCCTCCCGTGTTCCACCAAAATCCGAGAAGGCCCTACTTGGACGAGGTTGAACTTAAGCAATAAGATCTCCCGAAGCGTTTGAGCTGGACTACCGCCGCTTGTTCATTTGTTAGTAAACTGTACCCACTCCTCATCTTCGGCAAATGTGATGGATGGTCAATCGTAGAATCCCTAGTAAGTCGACTTGAACATAACGGTGTCAGATCGTGTTTGGAGCTGAATCGGGCTCAAGGCACGTGGGGACCAAACTCTACATTTTCGGATCTTCACAAGTCTTTGGAGATGCCACAGTGCTGTCTCCTTGTCGCATCGGAATCGCTCTAGCAAATGATCGATACTCTATCCAGATCCCTTTTCAACGCGTCAGATAGAGCATCGTGATTGTCAGTCACAGGGTGGTTGGAGTGTGGGTTATTTTCAAATAAAAAAGTCAACGCTGAGCAGAGTGAAGCGCCGTTGCACTGTGGTTTGAGAGAGCTTGCCCTCGCCTATCTTCTGGCCAATCCTTGGTCTAGCATGACTTGCGGAACATTCCAAGCAGTACTCGTAAAATTAAGGGCACCGAGAGCCCTCTCGCGAAATCGGTGTAATATCCATAATAAGTAAGCAGACAACGAGCTGGACCGTTGGCTGAAATTGCAAAGGTCTACGTCAGGAAATATGTTGCGGATTTTCAGGAGTTCTCCCTAAAATTCTATAGCATCAAATGTAGTTTGTTGCAAGACTTATGGACCGACCTAATGAATACTACTCTTCCCTCTCTGCTTCTCCTCTTTCCCTCGAACATCCGTTTTTGGAACGATGTTCCAAATTATTTCCGAGACTCTGCGTTAGGAAATGGCAAAACCATACGTTGTAAAATTCACAATCATGTCAATCAAGAGCGCTTGCCGAAAAGTGGGATGTAAAGCTGCGCTCATACACGTGGTTTGTCGACCGCATTCGATATGTGCACTCTTGAAGCTGAACAAGTCTTTCATACCCTCGGAGTCGCCCTGGCAGACCTACAGGTTTGTGTAAGCTCCTGGCTTCAGCAAGCCAATGCGAAATCCAGAAAACACATTCAAGTGAAACTCGATCCTGAGTGAAGGAGAGTTTGTTGCAAAATCCTTATGGGGATCGATTGTTGCCGATTCATTGTGGCTAACTTTTCTGAGTGATTTCCTTCGAGTATCGAGTGTTTTTAAGATCAAACACCTTCGAAGCAGGTTCCAGCTTTCCTTAGGGACTCTCCTAAGGCTGCTGGTAGTATTGTGGAGTCATACCGAGATCCCCTAAAAGAGCTCCGTATAATTTTCGAAACAGGCCTGATTCAAGGCCAGTGTTGTCCCTGATTGAACTTTAGTGATTACGGACAACAGTTTCTTCCGCTATTTGTGATCTTTAGTTAGACGAAGGAACTCGTTAACAACTTATGTCCTACATTTTGTGTAATTTTATTTTATATCTTAGTTTTTCAGCATTTGCTATTATCAATCTCCAATAATTTCACTTCAGAAATCTATTTTATACCTTCACTCATTCTCATTTCCTGGTCATTTCTTGGTCGCATCTCATTTAGGTGAAGATGAGGTTACCTTTGAAATAATTTTAGCTCAGCATCCGTAGTTTCATTTTTTAATTTATGTTAGTGTTTGCTGACTTTTCATTATCGGATGCTGTCTACAAAACGCTTTTCAGCCTTTTCAAGCACTGAGATGAAGATATAGCAGGTCTGGTCACACCATTACCTCGAAGTTTCAAGGCTAAAAATTCGAAAAACTTGATCAAAACCTAAATTTCTCACACGAGGCGATCAAAGCGTCTTCCAGAAATTCATTCGTGGGCGATATCGCACGATATGGGGGCATCCTCTAAGACTAAGCCTAGAAGAGGGCAGGAATTCTGGAGAGAATAAAGATTGCCCACAAACCCTAGATTCCTCCTTCCCACCTCCGTCATGGCCGCGTTTTGAACAGAAAGGAGGTGATTCACGTAGTTTCGAAGACACTGTCACTTCAATGCCCTCATATCCTGCTATAGCGCCCTCTATGTACAGCAACGGCTTGATCTGTAGAGAGCACAGCTCCATTCCACCAACTCTACCGATTATTGATTTTAAACCGAGGTTATGTTCTTTTTTTCACAGATCACCTCATTGAAGATCGAATCGAATCCGTTTGCGAAAGGATTTCGCGAGTGTGAACTTGACGATCCACGATTTCTACCGTTTCTTCTGCCCTTCTACAATCTCGCACTTCCATTCAGAAACACCTGACTGCACAATACGATCGATAATTGATTGTGTATGTCGTTACGAGCTGCTGTTCTTTCTCATTACTATTCGATTCTCCCATTGAGTGCTTTAAATGTTTGGATTCAATCCTTCGCCGCTGTTCGGTTCGGCCGTATAAAGACATTGTATGCTGTGAGGATTCCTAAGCAAACTGTTTATAGTGAAAGTAATTGTATCCAAATTAAACTGTAGTCGTTGTCGTTGATAATTATTTGCCGCATGAGAAAAAATTATAATAAATTCGATCTTAAAAGCACATTACGCAAGTCAAGTGCAGAAGCAAGGTTTGGGGCCCAAGCAAGAGCAGAGTGCTATTTGACCAGCCTCGAGGAAAATAAGAAGACCCGCCGACACTCCAAATAAGGTTATCCTTCTCGAGGTAGTGGGCAAGTGCTACGACAAACACATTCGGAATCGATAGTGATAGGGGCGATAGAGCATAAGGGATGAGCGAGACGCATACACTTCGCAACGTAGGCCGTTATCGGGAGAAGGAAAAAAAAAAAAAAAAAAAAAAAAAAAAAAAAAAAAAAAAAAAAAAAAAAAAAAAAAAAAAAAAAAAAAAAAAAAAAAAAAAAAAAAAAAAAAAAAAAAAAAAAAAAAAAAAAAAAAAAAGAAAAGATCATTGTATCACCTGTATCACCTGTCGTCCCGTTGATCATCGAATTGCTCGAGCGGGCGCCAGCAACGTCTCCATTCGTCCCTGTCGCGTGCAAGAGTTGTCCAGTGGACCCTCCTCGCTCGAGGGACACGATGTCCTTCATTCCTTTCGTTCAGATGGGGATGGCAGGATTATATACTGTGCTCAAAGAACAGCAAACTATGAGGGCTACCTTCAAGAAAAGTTGGGTCTCAAAGAAGAGGTTGTGGCGCTCTCGAAGGCACAGCACGCGCCTGTAGTGGTCTGGAAGACTTACCGCCTACCCCCCTTCCTCTTCGCTCAGCATGTCTCGTGCCATCTTGCCCGCCATATTCCCTCGCCTTCGCTTGCAGCAGATGCTACCCGTTTAGCAGAGCATTCACGTTGGTAATGCTAGCATCGATGTTCAAAGTGGAAATCAGCTGGAAAAAACAGTGGTCCCACACTGCGGGTTCTGGGCTACTTCTTTTAATGCTTTGTTCACTGCACTCTTTACCAACATCTACCTTCATTCCGCAAGTCACGCGAGGAACCCTTAATGGTTCGAGAGGCAGATGGCAAGGATTAGTATCCTTGCTCCAAGAAGGGAGGCTCATGAACTGCTTACTTATGAAAGAAAGTTAGGTCCAAGCGAGCGTCTCGTGGCGCTCGCAGAGGGCAAATGCGCCATTTTAGGATCTGAGAAGGCCCCCTTGCCCGTTCCTTTAGATGTCTCGTCCATCTACCCCACCCCCACCATCCGTCGTTGTCGGACTTTAGCAGCGTATGTTACCCGTTTAGCAGAGACGCAGAACGGACCGTTCACATTGGTACATTGGCACCGATGTGACTCGCCGGAACCGGAAATCAAGCGGATACGAGGCATTTTCCTTTAGTGTTTTGTTCACTTCACTCTTTACCACCTTTACCTTCATTCCCAACCACGAACAATATTTCGTGCCATCCACCTTCAAACTTCTCCTGCAGCACAATGGCCATTCTCTAGCACCCTTATGAAGCATTTTTAAGTCGAAGTGGATAGCTCTACTCTTCCCGCGGAATAGTTTTAGCCACCTGAGAACTTCAAAATGTGTCGGAAAACGAGAAAAGTCAACATATATGCTCAATCCTTCCATGTTTGACAGAAACGCTGGAAATAATAAATATTGACAGACTTTTACGATAGAGCCTTTGTATAACCTTTGCTGTCAAATCTCATTATTCCACCAGCTGTATGCTGTACAAATATCTCATTCCCTGTTGATCGTGCCTCGGTCGAATTCCCCTGTTACAGCTGGCAATGTGGCAGCAACTCCTCTCCTGATAACGGACTGTGTTAGCATCAAACTGATGGCCGCGTCGGGCTGATAAGGCGAAGTGCATCAATTTTCCTCTGTTCGCCTTTCTTGGTCAACGAGTTCAGTTTGACACTATTTCTTCACTGAGTACTTTTTCTTTAAGCAGTTTCTCGGAACCTCTTGAGTGAACAATTTTTCCAAATATGGCTCTCAAGGAAGGTCAACGTGTCTGTTCGAACGTTTGTAATGAACTGCACCGGCGCGTTTTGTCGTTGAACTCGAACGGTTTTCTATGTCCTCTAAGTATTTTCTGAGCGCATCATAAAGCAGAATTGCTCGGTGGTACGGGCTCATGAGCAGGAGGTCGTTGGATCGACCCCTCGAGTTTACTTTTTGATTTTTAGACAACATGATTAAAAAGTCTCCGACATCATTCCTGCACTAATTTATGATTACAAC